AAAAGAAGAAAGAAAAAGAAAGAAGAAAGAAAGAAAGAAAGAAAGAAAGAAAGAAAGAAAGAAAGAAAGAAAGAAAGAAAGAGAAAGAAAGAAAACTGTCATGAGTCGAATACAGTAAGAGAACCTGAGCCTCAAAGAGATTCAGGGTGACCCTGCATAGGAATTAGTTTGGGACTGGCACAACTCCCACTGATTTCCCTCATACTGAACCGCTGATAGTCCCTCACACAGCACAGTACAGGGCAGAGAGCTGAAGTGCCAAGAATGGGCTCAATTAGCTTAGCAATCTGACTAACTATGATAATTATGTGATCTAATAGATTGATTCTTAGAGGTCTCAAAACTACTCCAAGGGGATCAAGAATAGCACTGTAAAATAGGGCTCCTGCCTGGTGATCTAGGGCTTTGCCGGAAAACCTCCAAACACTGCCCTTAGCAGCAGTTTAGTTAGCTTGGAGATCACACAGTTGGGGTAAGAGGAAGCTCTCACAGTGCATAGAATGGGGCTTTCTACAGTTGTCAGAATTTCAAAGCTGAATTTTACTTTCAACTGAATGAATTTAACTCAATTCAGGTAATTAGTAACATCCTTTTTTTTTTTTTTGCTTCAAATGAATTTTTTTATTGTTTTGCTGCACACACATATTCAAATATTGTAACCTATCTCAAATCAGTTGTAAGCAGTTAAGATTAAATTAGAAAGAGAGGCCGAGTGTGGTGGCTCATGCCTATAATTCCAGCACTTTGGGAGGCTGAGAGGATTGCCTGAGCCCCTGGGGTTCAAGACCAGCCTGGGCAACTTGGCAAGACCTCATCTCTACAATAAATCAAAAAAATTAGCCAGGCATGGTGGTGTGTGCCTGTAGTTCCAGCTACTTGGAAGGCTGAGGCGGAAGGATCACCTGGGCCCAGCAGGTCAAGGCTACAGTGGCTGGGAGCATGCCACTGCCCTCCAGCCTGGGCGACAGAGTGAGACTCCTACTCAAAAAAAAAAAAAAAGAAAGAGAAATAGAGAGAGAGAAAGGGAGCAAATTTTAAAGCAACAATCAATTCTCACATTCTCTAGTATGAATAATTATATTTTAGTACTGCACACCAAAATGAGACAATTCGGAACTCATTTTGGATATTTAATTGGACCTCAGTGCCAGCTTTATTTGACATTATAAGCAAGTGTTCTGGTTTTTAAAAGAAAACATAATAAGGGACTCCTCAAAAAATTACCTGAAGTAAGATAATATTGATTATAAATTTATAGATGAAATTCTGGACTTACCGGACTATAAGCTGCTTGAAGGCCTTTTTTACTTCTTATGTTAATGTGCAGAATGAAATACATGATGAATTGATAATCACATTTAATACAAATCAACGTAGATAAGATATATATAAACAGGTATTCCAGTTGTGTGTGTGCACGCATGTGTGCCAAAGACAGTAAAAATAGGTCACTTTCAACTTTAGGTTCTGAGGTGATCATTACTTTTATACCTCATAATCACATTCTCCCTTGTTCCTAATGAAGTCATGGTTTGGCAGCCTGGAACTGTGGTGTGAAAACCAAACATGCTGCTTCTGAGAGTTGCCCTCTGGGTATCCTCCCAAGCCCACTTACTCTGCTCCCTGCACGTCCCCCACCAACAACATATCAAAGTATTTTGGGGGGAAAAAGCAGTAATTAACCAAAAGAAGTATCTTCTTCAGCATTAAAACCCATTAAAAAAAGCTTCAATCTTTCTCCCATTCCTACAAATTTCCTATTTGATTTGGTGCAAGTAAGTCATTTTGGGAACTGGTAGGTGGAATGTAGTAAATATCATAAGACCAGTGAAATCCCAGGATCTCAGAGGAACCTCCCTCATGCTGCTGGGCTGGGGCATAAGTGCAGGAAAAAGAATGACTCTTGTAGGGGCTTTTAAAGCACAAAAGGCTTTGCATGTTTTGGAGACAATTGTCTGAACTGCAGTATATCTAAACTATGCAGTATGTTGGCTCCTCATTTATCATTTTGATGATGTTGTTATGATTTAACTTCACATTTAAATATAGAAGAAAGGCTAGGCTCGGTGGCTCAGCCTGTAATCCCAGCACTTTGGGAGGCTGAGGCGAGTGGATTGCCTGAGTCTGTGGGTTCAAGACCCACCTGGTGAGACCTAGTCTCTACAATAAATAAAAAATTAGCTGGGTGTGGTAGTGCATGCCTGTAGTTCTGGCTACTTGGAACGCTGAGGCAGAAGGATCACTAGAGCCCAGCAGGTCGCGGCTGCGGTGGCCGGGAGTGTGCCAGTGCACTCCAGTCTGGGAGACAGAGTGAGTCTCCAACTCAAAAATAAATAAATATAGAAGAAAAATCTAAGTTTTTAGTTGTAGATGTTTACTTCCTTTTCTTTCTTTCTTTATGTACTCTTTTCTGGGGAACCAATAAAGTCTAATACAGGCAAAGCATCCTGCAGATGAAGAGAAGGTTGGTGGGGAAATGAGCAAAATCTATTTTTAAGGTTAAAAAAACATCTTCTAGAAGGAAACCTTTAGACCCAGTAGCAGCAAGACATGGTCTGACAGGTGAAAGGGAAATAGAATCATCTTTTTAGGATGCACCTTCAAGATAATCATCACACATTGGAAGTGGAATTTTGGAAATGAAGCCAACTTTCAGTGTCTCAAAGGCCAACGTGCCCCCAGTGATTGGACCTGGCCTCAGGTGGAGGCACTGACTGGGGTCTCAGAGAACACATTTCTTCCCCCTTAATGCCATCCACCTCAGCTGCATCATGCACCTGTTTAAATAACAAAGCGTCACTGCACACAAGCACCTCTGAGACAAAGGTAGCTCACTGCTGCATGGTAGTTTTACATGGCAAGAGCTACCAGTTTCTAAAAGTGTATCAGCATTCATCAGCATCGACATTGGGAGGCTAAGGGAGCACAATCCAAATCAATTGAGAATGTTACTAGAAAGTCAAAACCCATTTCTTCAACCTCACAT